CTGTTAAAATTAATGTATAAACTGAACAATAGGTATTATATATTTCTGATTGTTTTTATAAATAGCTCTCTCTATTGTTAAAAGACAATTTACTAAATATTTTACTTCAATTTTACCCATTTACAAGTTTCAATGAACAGACAGCGTAAAATCACATGAAAGAGAAAATATTTTTAAAGATGATATATTTAATAATGATAAATTAATTTTTTATTTGTTTAAAAGAAAATAATCTAACAGCAACTCTTTAATTTTTAGTGAGGTGCTCCTATTGTCATTGTATATGGTGTTTTCTAAATATTTATTTTGTTCCTATAGATATAAATGATATCAATAATTTTAAATAGTTGAACAATTTTGCCTTGTAAAGATGTGTCTTGGAAGAGGGAAGAGATGTTAATTGTGTGTTTTACCTACCATTATAATATCAACTATGACATTGGATAAAGATGAAAATTTATTATGATTGTATGTGCTTCTAATTAGATATTTCCTCCATTCAAAAATATAAAGTATTTTTTAAGGAGTTAGATGTTAAAAAATATAAGATATTTTTAATCTTTTGAGATATAATTATTACCATTTTTCAAAAGCACTCCTATTGATTATGACTCATATTTATTATCTGGTAATTAATAGAGATAAATATGAAAAGATAGGGTTAGTTTGAAAGTAGGTAAGAACTTTATTGAGAGTGAGATTTAATTAAAAGTATCTTATATTTTTTAACATAATGAGTAATAAATTTTTATTGACATGTAAAATTTAATTAAAAAAATTTATATATAGGAAAGAAAAAGGGAATAATTGTAGGTCATTCATAAATAAAATACGAGTGAGTATTGACAGGTAATGTGTTGTAGTGCCTCTTCTCTTCTCCTCTCTGCCATGTATGTCATTTATTAGATACTCATTTCTAGATACAAGAATTTGTAACCAATTCACACACATTGAAAAGATTAGCCAAGCCAAGTATCTGTCAATAATGTGTGCTATTTTTTAAAACACACGCTAAGTGAACCCTGTATCGAAAACCAATCACGACTGTTATGTACATATTTCTTCCCTTCTCCCTTCTTCATTTTAAATCTCAGCTATGTACAAAGTCTGTTTTTAAAAATGTTTACAATCAATATATTATTTTAAAAATAAATAATAAACTGCATTTAAGATCAGAATAAATCCCTTGACTAACTTCTATATTCAATATCGAAATCAATATATAAGAGTTAAAAAGATAGGCATATTTTTAACTCTGTTTCTTGTCACTCATTGCTTTTCCTTTGCATTGAGCATATTTTTATTTTTTTGGCCTTAGAGCATATTTTTATCTAGAATTGTATATCTTACATGTTTATTATATATTTTATGGATTGTTTTTATAAAAATTAATGACCAATGATTTGTAAATAAATACATCAAGAGCACTGCTATAGATATAAATCCTTTTTTAAGCGGCGACAATAGACCGCCGGGGACGAAGAAGCAATGAAATGAAAAGTGAACGGATAAGACAAAAAATTAAGGGTGGGGGCCTGTGATCACGCAAAGTCGAAAAGAGCACGGGATGCGAGCACCTGCGCTGGAATATATACATTTCTTTCATTTAAAAATATAAAATATTTTTAATTAAATTTTATTTTTTAATAAAATAATTACTTACTTTTAAATTATTTTTATTTTTTAATATTTATCTCTATCATACACCTTATAATAAATATAAAATTATTATTAATAAAAATATTTTTTTAAAAAAAGATAATAATTATACTTCAAATAACTAAAAATATTTTATATTTTTAAATATTTAATTTTTTAAAAAATATTTTATGTTTTTAAATAAAAAAAGTGTGTGTATATATCAAAGAAGAATTTCATTCAAGGGCCGTAGCCGTGACATAATGTTAAACCAAGCTCAAGACAATATGAATTTTTATTGGATGATGTTGGGTTTGATCTGAAATAAAATTATGCAACAAAGTTGCCAAAATATCCTCATTCAATGTGTTGTAGCGAGATAAAAGAAGTAACAAGTGAAGTGAAACATTTAATTAGTTCACCTCTCAATTTAAATCTATAACTTGTTTAGACTATTATCATTATTTTTAAAATTGAACACATTATTTACTATTTTTTTACGTTACTTATCACCTTTACGTTGCAATGAACATGAATACTAATTCTTTAAAAAACTTGTTAATATTTTAACTTTATTTATTAATTCCCTTACATAAATCACTGGCCCTGTAACTTTGTTTGTGAAGTCCACATAGTGAGTTAAAATATATTACTTGTTAAGTTATCATCATACATTGTAAAATTAACTGTATTGCTTATTAAATGTTTTGTCTTGTTAATTTTTTAGAAAAACATAATTTTAAATCTCTGCACTTTATTATAGGTTTTTACTCCTTTTTTAATATTATAAGTTCTCACAATTTTATTTTTTTGATGCTTTGGGTCATTCTAAGGTCTTACATTTTATTTATGGAGGGACTTAAAATATGAAAAATAAAAATGTAGACACCTAAAATATAAAAAAAAAGTGCAGGAACTTATAACAAATAACAAGCAAAGTGTAGAAATTTAAAATTATATTTTTTTAAATTTTTTTATATTACTCAATTCATTGTAAGATATTGTAATTAGGATACTTTGGTATTTTGATTTTTCAGACATAATATTCTACAGTAAAATTTTATATTATGGTAGGTTTGAAATTCTCTCATAAATAAATAAATAAATAAAGTGAGGAGAAAGGTGTGAGAAAGCCAGAAATTTTCATGAAGTTAATATATTCTAAAAGCTTCTTGAATGATTTGAAGTAGACAGAAAGATCTAAAACAATAAAAAAGATACCAAAAGCTCGTGGAATACACTAGCATATTTCAAATGATCCAAACATCTTTAGAATAGTATGGAGAGTATCCGGGGCATTTAAATATTTTAGGAATATCTTTTTTTTATATATCTAGAAAAATTTTCTTGTAAATATTATGATATTTTTTGCAAATATTTTTATAAAATATTATAGAGATCGAATGTATAGTGTTGGATTAGATTAATCCCAATTGTTTATTAAAAAAGTGATAATTTTCTGAAATAAGAGGGAGTTTTATAAATACCTTTTCACCTCTCATTTGCAATTATCAAGTCCACTAACAAAGCTTTTAAATTTATTTACTTAAACTCTCTACTCTCTACTTGAATATTAAGCTCTTCAAGTTTTTTTGTCTATATTATGAGAGTTTGGCCGACTTAACTAAAATTAAAAGATTAATCAAGTTAAAATTGACAAAGTTAAAAAAAAATATAAAGTTTCGGGGCCATGACAAAAAGAGACCTCGAGAGAAATTTTTTTTAAGTAAATTAAATACATCACATCATTTATAATTTGTTTAATAAAAATATAATATTTTTAATATTAAATATATCTTAATTTTGATATTAATGATAATAGAAATAAAAAAGATAAAAAATAAAATATATATTTTTATAAAAATAAAATTAATTAAAAAAATATTATATAAAATTTTATTTAAATTATTTAAAATATTTTAATTGAACAAGATATAGATACCGTGATACGTCCTATTTACTTAAACATTCTCCATGATCCGAAGCGGCTAATCACTTCCGCGGTCGGTGGCGGCGGGAAAACTGACGCATGGCATTTTGGAGAATAAGGAGAGCTACGAGGGACAAAATAGTAAAAAAAAGGAGCCTGGCGTGCTTTATCGCCATGAAGCCTCATCAAAAGTCACCCTGTAACACAATCCCCTGCTCCCTATACACACGTCTGCACATTTCGCTGCCGGCATCTGGCTTCGGCACTATATCACGGATTTTTTATATGTTTAATAGATAGATTCTTATTTTAATAGGTCTAACAGTATAAATAAAAATAATTTCTTAACTATAAATATAAACCATTTATGGAATTGAACATTTCAAATCTAACCGCAACACTGGTACCGATGCTTGGGATGAGAACTGGACCTACCATCACTATCCTCCCATTACATGACTCAGTCCTCTCTCTCCCTCTCCTTCGTTCTCTTCGGAGGCTGGAGAGACAACTGTGTCAGACCCCGAAACCATCACCATCAACCCTGCCCCCAGCGGCCAGAGTACGAGAGAATAGAGTGAGGATCCTGACCCAACGAGAGAGCCTGGACAGCGCCTTTGATATTTGCGCCTAACACTGCCGAGAAGATTTTCAGTGGATCAGGATGATTTAAAGCAAAGGCGGCGAATATTTATTATGCTTTCGCAGTGAGACAGCCCCACTCGTTCTCTTCTCTTGCTCCAATTCATTTTTCATCATAATTATACTATTTTGACGCATTTTTTCCCGATTAATTCCATGACGCGATTTTTGTCTTTGCGGAAACAGCTTCATAACTTCAAAGATAAAGACAGGCAGCGTCTGAGCTACCTATATTCATAAACAACCCCTTCTTAGTTTCTAAACCACACCTTTTCCCAACGAGCACTTTTTGATTCGCAGTACATCTTCTTGCTTTTCCTTCCTTTGGAACCTGCCTTCCAACTATTCCCTCCTTTTAGCGTCATCAATGTCATCACAAGCATGTTGGAAACCGACGAGAAAAACTACGCGAAAAACGAGTCATTAGCGTGAGGCAGTGATGATTTCGGTGCCATGTCTATTGCAGGGCCGACTAGCGTGTTTGAGAGTGCATTCTTCAGCGGAACGCCTTCTCTGGCCAGTAGTTTGGTAAACTGATCCGGGTTTGTCTCTGTTCAATGACTTGGTAGCAGAGGTTAGCAGGCATCACGACGCGCCGAATAGAAAGAGCCATTGTTTTGTTCCTATGGGCGGCTTCGTCGGCAACGGAGAAGTAACTGTTTTTGGTCTAGTCTGAAGGTGTTCCCGTTTTGTTTGAGAGAAAATGAAGTTTATGAAGTTGGGTTCGAAGCCTGGTGCCTTTCTAGCTGATGGAAAGTCTATCAGGTGAGACTTGAGAAACCTTCTTTTCTTTCTTTCCTTAAGCTGCCTTCGAACATGAAGTTATTAGGAGAATGTTCTTTTCGTTTTTCTGGCTTTCGGCGCGGTAGTGCCTGCAGATTCTGGGTCTTGATTTTTCTTTCAATTCGTGTTGTTAAGTGGTTCGAGAATTTTCTGCATTCTTGGATCGTTATAGTCGGAGTATTTGTGAGAGCCATATTAATTCATGTTAGTACAGTTTGTGGTTTTGCATTGAATTCGAACTGAGATTATAAGCGGAGTGAGGCTCTACCACCGGGGGGGTATATTCCTGATTGCGTTGAGAACCGAGAGGAATATGGTCTGTGTGGATAATCATTCCGTTCTATTTCATAATTTTACAAGCACCGTGAAAACACAGCATGGAAAAGAGAATAAAAGATAGACTTCATTGACAGAGATGTCAATATTTAATTTCCGGTGACACAGAAAAAGGAGGAACAGCCTGAAAAAGTAGGAGGTGGTCCACCCTTAACCCTTCGAACTTTGATACATGTATTTTGAGTATGTGGTCCAACCATCGATCATGGCAAAGTTAGCCCCTTTAAACTATACTGTCAATTTTATTACTAACCGGGTTACTTGACTCTGTTTCTCTACCCGCATATATTTCTTCCCTGACTCATAAATGACTATCTTGGCTTGTTAGTGCAGCCGATTAATTACGTATTGAGAATAGATGTTAATTGATAGTTGTTGTTGATAGGTTATTTTTTGAATACGTTGAATTTGAAAATTATGTTTGACAGTGAAATATCACCTGTGCCTTGAGAGTGAGGTTTCATTCATCAGTGACGCAAAAACGAATTCTGCAAAAATTGAAAAGAAAGAAAGGGAAAAGGCCGTGGTGGGTACTGAATTTATTGGGTAGAGTCGTGCCTGGGGTCTGGCCTTAAAGCCGTGTTTCCTAGTAAAAAGAGTTGGCTGAAATATCCTGGCGTAATGTTAACCTTTTATTCTAACATAATTTTTGAATGCAATCTGAATCCTGTACGCACTGCATGAGATCAGTGAGGTGGGTTTTTCCTTTTTCTTGTTTTTCCCCAACAACAACCATTTATATATATATATATATATATATATTTTGGGTCTTTCCTAAAAAACCGTTACCAGCTTGGTGTTCCCATTTCAATGTGTCCAGGTATTCGTCATCTGAATTGACTACAGATATTGTCGTAAATGTTGGCGAAGTCAAGTTTTTCCTGCACAAGGTACAGACAATTTCTGAATCTTTGATTTGTCCTGTTTTGCAAAAATGATCTAGGTAGCCATAGTATGATTGCCAAGTGATAGTTGGAACTGTTTCGTCCTTTGATTTTGTCATGAGATGCAGTTCCCTCTTCTGTCCAAGAGCAATCGATTACAAAAGCTGGTATCGAAAGCTAATGAAGATGATTCTGACGAAATTTTCTTGAATGAATTCCCTGGAGGGGCCAAGGCATTTGAATTATGTGCAAAGTTCTGCTATGGAATGACAGTTACTCTTAATGCCTACAACGTTGTGGCTGCTCGCTGTGCAGCTGAGCATCTTGAAATGACTGAGGATGTTGATAGGGGAAACTTAATTTTTAAAATTGAGGTATTTCTTAACTCAAGCATCTTTCGGAGCTGGAAAGATTCCATAATTGTTCTACAAACTACAAAATCTCTTCTCCCTTGGTCTGAGGATCTGAAGATCATTGGCAGATGTATAGATTCTATAGCTTCTAAAACTTCGGTGGACCCAACTAACATCAGATGGTCCTACACACACAACCGAAAACTAACTGAGCCTGATAGAATTACTGAACACAGGATGACATATAAAGAGAAAGTTGAGTCTGTTCCTAAGGATTGGTGGGTTGAAGATATTTGTGAGCTGGACATTGATCTTTACAAACGAGTAATGATTAATGTGAAGTCAAAGGGAAGAATGGATGGTCCTTTAATTGGGGAGGCACTGAAAACATATGCGATCAGGTGGTTGCCTGATTCTATTGAGGCATTGGTTTCTGAAGCTCATGCACAAAGAAACAAATTTCTGGTGGAAACAATTGTCTGTCTATTACCATCTGACGGTGCTGCGGGTTGTTCTTGTAGTTTCCTTTTGAAGCTATTGAAAGTGGCCATACTAGTAGGTGCAGATGAGTCGTCAAAAGAAGAATTAGTGAAAAGCACCTGCCTTAAATTGCATGAGGCTTCTGTCAAAGATCTACTGATCCCTGCAAGGCCTCCTCAGACTACCATATATGATGTTCAGTTGGTACAATGTCTTTTGAATCGATGCATGAATGAAAAGGGCAGCAGCTGCAATGTGGAAGTTGCAGGGAAGAAAGATAAAGGAAATGACAAAGCAATATTTGCACATATGTTCTTTGTGAAGATCGGTCAGTTGGTGGACAATTTTCTTGTCGAAATTGCACATGATCCGAATCTCAGCCTTTCTAGGTTTGTTGACTTGTCGCAAACAGTACCGGTATTTGCCAGACCAAATCATGATGGTCTGTACAGAGCTATTGACATATACTTGAAGGTATGCTTAATGTGCTCCTTTGATGTTGTTTACAACTTTTCAATGTTACTTGCGGAGCTTTTAATTTTGAGCAATGCTTGTTTATGGTATGAGTAATTGGGCACTATACAGGGCTAGTGACATATACTACTTGGGAACTGTTTGGAATACGTTAGCAGTTCTCTAATAGCATGAATAGTACAAATTCCTTGTGTATTTATCTGATATTAAATTTTGCTATCCGTAACCGAGAATAGAACCTTAATTTGTGCCAGTTTGTTCACTGCTGCTTCCAATAAGCAGCCCTCAATAGGGAAACAGCCTAATTGGTGACAGGTTTTTGTGTTCAGGAGCACCCAAATGTGACAAAAGCTGAAAGGAAGAAGCTATGTGGACTGATGGACGTGAAGAAATTGTCAGTGGATGCATCTATGCATGCCGCACAGAATGAGCAGCTTCCACTTCGGGTTGTAGTGCAGGTTCTCTTTTTTGAGCAGCTCAGAACTTCTGCCAGCGCTCGCGCTCTTGGTGATAAGAATTCATGTAAGCCTTTGACGTACGCAGTGAGCACAGATGAAGAATGTGAGACAATAGTCGGTGAGAAGCACCAATCGCTTGAGAACCAGATGTGTAATTTGAAGATGAAGGAAGAAGAATTCCCCAAGAATGGGAGACTGAGCAAGACAAATAGCAAAAGCAGCAGACGTGGAATGCAATTACTTCCTTCACGTTCAAGGAGAATCTTTGACAAGTTATGGATTGGTGGCAAAGGACAAGGAGAGTACAGGGGATCAGAGACATCAGGAAGTTCAAATAGTCCGACATCTATTGTCCCGGGATACACCAAGTCATCAGGTTCATCATCTAGGCACAGGAGGTACTCTATTTCTTGAGGAGATTATCTTCAGTGAAGCGTAGAGTGCTGGTGTTTGTGGTTACTGTTATTATCTCCTGTGCATGTAAACAGGAAAAAAGTGGCACGAATACTACAGAAAATTTAGTGATTTTTTGGTCTGTCTAATTTGGACATCATTTCGTCGTTTTGTTGTATAGAATCATGATCCTTTATTATTTTTAATGACCCATGTCAGGGAAAATGGTAATGATCCTTCATTGAACTTCTGAAGGATTTAATAACAGGGTCATCCAAAGAAGGGTTATCTGTCACTTGAAAAATGATTAGAGGGTTGAATAAACAAATAAATAAATAAAATCAAACGGTAAGATTTGAGGAGATCAATATATCTTTGTAGTGATATATATTTATTCTACCTTGAATTTTTGGAATTGGAGCTGAGATAAATAAAAAATAAAAACTGAGTGACTTCTCTTGAATTTTGTTTGTTGAAGTTGTAAATTGCATTTCACAAGCTGAAGGGTTGAAGGATTCCAGTTTCCTGCCGAGCACCTTTGGAAACTCGGACAAATATTTCCGGCTCGTGTTGTACTACTATGATGTTGTAGACGCCTGTTTTTTGGACTTTTGTTGTCTGGAGACACTGGGGGGCGTAAGTTCGCTCCGGCTTATGAAGTCATTCAAGCCATTAGTTCTGAATTCTGATATGAATGTTTGATTTGTTCTTAGTCAATCAAGACGGAACGGAACATAGCGCGTTAGGATCGTCACCTTTCATATAATGATTAATGATCCACGGGATGGAAAACATTAGTAATAAATATTTATCTGAATTTTTCATTAGAGTTTGAGTTTTTTTTTTCCTTTCAAAATTTTATCCCTATCTAACCTTTTTCCATGAGAAAGGCAGACTCACACACAATCACTTTAATGTTAAGTTTGAATTTATAGTCTCTTTTAAGAGAGGAAGGTGGTATTGTCATTAGGGCATTAACTGTTGACAAATTTTAAAGTTTTTTTTTACTACTACTTTTACTAATAATAATATTAATGTACCTGCCTTGGCATTGCTGCAAAATTGAATATGCCCTGAAGATTCTTACGAGTATCTGGTTCCTGCCACAGATATTGCTAAAATGAAACATTTTTCATTATATTAATGCTAATATCATTTATAAAAAACTGATTATAATTATATGTTATTTTATTTTTAGTGTTAAGCATTACTGCATAGGCATTAAAAATATGTGCATATTAAGTGATTGCTCGGCAACACATTGTGATATCATTGTTAGCTAGCCGCAACCCCGTGTATTGCACGGGTTGACCTATTAAGGATATGCAAATTTAAAGAATGATAATATTATTTTAGTAACTATAAATATAACACGTGGCACATAATTAAAAGGGAAATGAAATACTGCTTGACAAACGTGAAACGTCATTCTTATTTATGATTACTTAGCTGTAGCTTATGCCAACTAAGCTTATGTCTTGACTAACTTTAGCCTATTCTAGCCAGCGTGCTATATTTCATGAATAACTTGATTCTTGTTCTGGGAAAGCAAAAAAAGACTTGATTCTTGGACGTGACGGAGAGTTCGTCCAAATGCCGGGGGTGGGGGGGGGGGGGGGGAAGAAAGCTCTCAGTTATTATGAAATGTAGTCAGTGTCTTCAGCCGGAAAATCACGCTGATCTCGCACAAGCACAATATCCTCTAATAAAAACGCCAATATCTATCTAGCACAATATTCTCAATAATACAACGTCGAAGTGGCTCTTAAGAGAGTGTGTGTATTTTTTGGGATGAAAAAGTGGCTTTTAAGTTTTAGCAGTGAGTAACGCTATTGCCTTTTAGTTACGAGAACCATTATAGATAATTATATTCGAGTGGCTGAAACAAAATCTTGAATGTAAAAAATATATCACCGAAAAAAAAAAACTAAACTAAAACAAAACCCCCTTTAAATGTAATTACTTTACTGGCTAGTATTTTAGGCATTCAGTTATTGAAAATCTGAAATGGTGGAGTTGGTTTTGTCCTACGAAGAAGTCAACGGGGAGCATCTCAATCTAGCAAGCTAGTGCTTAACAATCCCTAAACATCGTCAGCGATCATCATCTTCTCATAATTACTCCACCCGTCTTGAATTCAAATCACAGTGCACTGTCTGTTCCCCATTAACAGAAGAAGAACAGACACTGTTTATGGCTGCCGCTTGTGGAAGTGTATAGCGCCGTGGCAGGACCCGTATCAAAATGAGACTTCTTCCCAAACAAACAATCCTATTACTAGCTTTCTTTATCTTTTTCACCCCTCTTTCCCACTCACGTGCCCCAGAAGTCTCCCGCCGGCACTGCAAAGCATGGCTCGTGCAATCCATTCCCACCGATATGTCCTACCTCTCCCGCGTTCCCGGCGTTCTCTCTACTGGTTTAATGCCTATTTATACATGCCACCTCCGTTGTTTTTTTTTTCTTTCACTTCTATGTTTTTTGGATTTGGATTTTCTGGAACGAAGTGTGATGTAATTTAGGGGATGTGCTCCGGTGGCTCGCGGCGAACTCTACTCGGCGACTTGACATTATTGCTCAATACTGGCAGCTGGTGGCTTCTCCCCATAATCCTCGCTCAGGAGATTACGGCTACTCCGAAAGTGATATGCACAAATTTGGTGCCCATGAAGGTGCTGCCGTTTATAAAGCCATAGATAATGCTGCTGATCGTAATATTAGGATCAGGTATGATTTAACATGTGTGACCAAGTAGTGACTTTGATACTAAGGCATGTTTGAGAATCACAAATCAACAAACTTTAATTAAGTTGTTTTAGAGAAGGTAATCTGTTGGGATTTCAAATTGAAATCACTGTAGGTTGCTGTCTCATTCAGGAGTATATCCAGACTTCACGAAAGAACCATCTAAACTCGCTTCAGGAAGGTCAAATGTTAAGAATGTGACCTTGTTGCTGGGAGATTGGTGGGGTTCGGGAATTGTTCATGCCAAAGTCTGGATATCAGATAACCGGGACGTATATATTGGATCTGCAAACAATGACTGGAAATCACTTACTCAGGTGATTATGGTTATATTCATGTAAATAGCCAGGTACATTCTTAAGGTTCCTAAGAATGTAGATCAATGAAGCATCAACTCTCCTAATGACACGTCCCATTGGTTTTTCGCCTTTCTTCATGGATCTTAAATATTTGTCTAAAGTTGAAGTTTTTCTTAAAGGCTAATCAATTTAAGATATAAAGATATTTTTTTAGTGTCGGGTAGCCATTGGTTATCTGTTGGATCTATGATGCTTGTTCTGATCACTAGTACTGACTGCTTCAGGTTAAGGAAGTTGGAATCTATCTTACTGGTTGCCCAAGAATAGCTAAAAGAGTTGAAGTCTACTTCAACAATTTATGGACACTCGCATCTCTTAATTCTTCAGCTTACACAAAAACAGTATTTGATCAACAGTGGCAAGTTGAAAGAAAGGTTCCTTGCTGGTCACATTTCGTTGAGCCAACAAGGAGATGCGAGTAAGTCAGGTTCTTGTTATAGAACAAAAGTGTAATTAGAGTTTTTGCCGAAGTTTTTCTAATGTGTCTCTTCAGATACTGGTTAATTGTCATGGTTATCTGCCTCGATGCATTTTTGATATCATCAGGCTTTGTGGTTTTGATATAGTGTTGTGCAGGTTTATGCTCTATGAAAATTTTCTTCCCTATTTGGAGTTTCATGTTTATGGGAGCATTAGAATTTGAAATTAGTTTTAGAGATAAGTGTTAAAAGGTTGATGAAGGATTCAATATTATTCACATTAAAAGTAGTGTCTAGCATGGTTGCAGACATGAGAGAGGTAAGAATACTCTTCATAAATGAGGTTTAAATTGCATATAAAAACAGTTGAAGATGGATGGAAATCAATGTAGAGTGAGGTAAGACTACTCTTCATGTTTTTGACATATTTACAATATCTAATCATGTTATCACAGGTCTCCTCTTCCTCGGTATGTAGAGACTCCCCATGTTGCAGGGTATCCTGTTCTCTCTGATCCCTACATGTTTAGAGTTTCAATTGAGACTCCTGGAAGCAACTGTTCAACAAAGCTTCCCCGAGCTAGCTATCTCTCCTTTGCCCCTCCTGAGGTAAGGAGCTTGACTTTTAACAATCTGATAGGTGATATGCATCCCTCAACTGTAGTCATCAGAATTGGTTTTTATCGTTTGTTTTGTCTTGTTTTTTAATGTCATTGTTGAGAGACCAGCTTAGTGTTTAAGATGAGACCATACTAAGCGCAAATGAGGTAGAAGTGACATCCTTGCGTGTGATTCTACTATCATACAGAATTTCACTCTGGCATATAATTTTTCTTGCTCCTTTTTCTTTATTTTTTTTTAATTGTTGTTTGGGTTACAAGTCAGGGTAAAGGAGATGTGATGGCCAGAGAGCTAGGACTACCATTTTTTAATTATTGATAAAACCGTCCAATGACTGGCATAGATAAAGGGGCCCTTAGATACTTAGCACTTGCAATATTTGTTGTTCGATTTAACCAAACAATAGGCTGGCTTGAGAAGCACTTCTCTTCAAGCCATGATTGATAATAATCAATACCTCGCCGCCTCTTTTGATAGCTTTACCTCAAATTGGGGAATTATTTCTCATGATCACTCTTTTAGATTGCTGCAGAACCTTAGATTTAGTTTGGGATAAAGGACTTAGGCTATGTTGGTTCTGATTCTCTTCTCGGATTGTAAAGTTTGTCCATTTTCTTTAACGTATATGTAATTTACTTGAAATAGACTATTCTTGGGATGCCCATTATATTAATCTCTGAAATTTCGTTCTGCATATCCATGGGTAAGTGAATTGCTTTTCTTATTCAATTTATTTTAATTCATAAATGGTGAATGATAAATGACTCAGTTAAGCCGGTTTATTGTTTTGCTGTAACTTTCTTTGCCTGTACCCCAAAATATGATATCTGAAGCTACATATATGCAATAGAGTGGCAATGTTACTGTATTGAGATTATTGATTGTAATATGATTGCAAGCATTGCCGGATACTTTTTAGCACTGTTTATCAGCAATTCAGAAATGTCTTTATAGCATTTCCGTTGAAGATTTTTGTAATGTTATGGACTTATGGTACACGGTAAACCCCAAATAACGTGTAAACACCAAAGTACTTTTTCATTCCACACCATTACATGTATCCTTCGTCTATTTATACTAACATAGGTTGGATGGGTTCCCGCCAAATTAATTGACTGCCCCTCACTTCCAAACAATTCTTTAACTATCCCCTAATTCCCATGGATCATATTAAATCCGTTTGGAAAGAAAGTACACATTTCCGGAAGCTCATATTCGACTTTTAATGTTACCTTGACCGTCTTAATTTTTTTTTTTACCATGATTATATGGTTGCAGCTGTCATTTGGCAAGTATCAGGCTGATGAACAGGCTTGGGTCGATACAATTAAATCTGTGGGAATGAAGGAGACAGTTAGGATCAACACCATGGACTGGCTGGGTCAGTCACAGTATGCTGACCAAACTGTTTACTGGTCATCCCTATCCTCTGCGATATCAGAGGTAAATTTATTTCTTTAAGTGGTCTTGTTCTTGATTCACCAAATTCTCTAACTTCTGTCTCACAAAATTAGTTTGGGAATTTTTTCTCCGGAAAAGAAATAAATTAACGCATTCATATCTTTGTGCCTTGGCAATATTCTTTCCCGTTGCAGCACTATGAACTCAACCTGTAGAACTAACAATTTTTTTTTTTTCAAGTTTGAACGAATTTTTTGGTTTCAAGAGCTATTTAGTAACCACATACTTTATATATTCTTTCTACCAGGTTGTGTTTTCCAAGAATGCAACAGTAAAAATATTGGTGGCTTATTGGAGTCACTTCATCAGTAGCACGGATGTGTACCTGAAGTATCTCCTATACTCCAACAATCTCTGCTCATCTTCAAAGTACCATAAATGCTCTGGAAAAGTTGAGATCAAGTACTATGTGGTTCCAGGTTTCAATTCGACAGGGCCTGCCATTAAGAACGGAGCCAGTACAGGAAATACATACCCTGGTTTTACGAGGGTCAATCATGGAAAATACGCAGTTAGTGACGTACGGGCTCACATTGGAACTAGCAACCTCATATGGGACTACTTTTATACCACATCAGGAGTCAGCTTTGGAACACACAACCCTGCCATTGTTTCCCAACTTCAGGAGATTTTTGATGCTGACTGGAATTCACCCTATTGTGTCCCGGTTGAAAAACTGGAACAACGCCTTTCTTCTTCATTCTAGGAGTGCTTGTTTTCATTTATGTTTTGATGCTGACGGGAATTTCAAATTGGTGATTTGATTTGTGGGCAATATAATATTTATCTTCATGAATCGCAACGTCATCTGATGAGTCAGTTTATTGGAACAATGGTCAGGATTAAAACGACTTTCACGAGTAACGGTCACACTGTCTGATCGTCCATTTGGTGACCCATGAAAAAGTTGTTGCTGAATGAAGCCAATATATGCACTACACCTTGCCTGAGCTTCTCTCTCCATCTTTTTCTGTACTTCTCTGGTCTTTTTTTGTAATAAAAAATCACTTACAAAATTGTTTGAGCATAAGATTTTAAATTTTTACCGACACATGTTGGGTGCAATAAAAGAGACTAATCTTTAACTTGTTTGAATTTTTGTTAAGAGTGTAAGGTGCTCAGATTTAATGCTCAAATTATGAATTCCTCCAATTTAACTTTGTATGACTGTTTGTTTCATCATATAAACATCAAACATCTGTTCTTAAAGAAAAACGGCAGATATTAGCAAGTGCAAGGTGGATCGTGGAGAAATGTGAAACAATCATCCCTGTTTCTTATCCTTTTTACATCGATGTCTTCCATGTCCGGTTCCCGTTTGGGTTCCTTAACCTCGATAAACTGGGTGCTCACTGGAGAAGTAGTTTTGGATAACTAATGTTTATATCCGTCCGTAACAAGAATCAGATAAATAATTCTGCGTTACATGACTTTTTATTCTCGTGGTCTAAAGCTACAAAGCTGACTTTCTCTCGCTCCCCTCCCCCCTGTAATTAATTATATAGAGCTGACTTTTGCAGGTAAAGCACAAGGAAGTTGACAGTGCACGATCATGCAAGATTTTGCATGATCCTATGAACAAGGACATTACTTTTCAACAACTCGGGATTCTATAACGGCTTCAATCAAGACGGCGTACAAGGTACTCGACCTCAACATCCTTTGTAAGAGGGATAATCCATTTCTCGTAAAGGCGAGAAACTAGGGTAGGCTTGACCTTGTAACTCGGCACGTCGCCGTCGTCGTCACGCTCAAGGCTCACTTCTTGGCCAAACACCATTGCCTTCTTTTCAACCCTCTTCCTCACCATCTCTTCTACGCTCTCCACTGTCAACAGTTTCATCAATCCTTCTCTGTCCTGCATTAGTCATAACCCAATCCTTTAAATGGAGCTCAACCAATAGATTTTGTATATTCCCTACACATGAAACATTATTAAATAAATATACCTGAGCTCGAATTAAAGGCTCGTAGTCCCGAGGGGATTCCTTGAATTTAACCTCTGCTACGAATTTTCCGTAGTGGATCCTTCTGGAGATGGCCTGCATAAATTTCAATTTCATATCGTGTACACTGTCAACAGACACTGATGAGATAGCTAGGCTAGCTCTCAAGGAGCTGGTAATTAAAGATGCCTCTCCATAACTCCAAGACCACATACCTGCAATAAGGAAAGATCACTAGCTGCAGTTTGTGCGTAGTTACCATCATCACCGGAAGCAACAATCAGTGGAAGCACCTCATGAAAATAAACTTTCCAGATGGACTTGTTTATGTTGACTGAAGAGGCTCCAGGGTGCAAAATCTAAACAAGTCAAGTTTAAAAGGAATCCTAATTTAATTTTTTTCTTTGCATAATGAACTGAGGAAAAACACACCAGAGTCATGGTGAATCACCTTAGAGAAGGGGTAATCAGGCACAAGTGACGGTGATAAATTTTCTGGGAAGAAGGGGTTCTCTTCGGGGCTTTTGAATCTACCTGCCTGTAGAATACCACAATATGTAATGTACGCCCATGCACTTTCTAAAGTAATATCTATTATAATAAGTTTGTATTTATGTTTTCTATGTATGGCTGTCACTTATAATGTTAATTCATGAATTCATCACATTACCCATTGCCTCATTCGACAGACGTGACAAACACAATAACGACAAAATTGAGATGTCAAAATAGGCAAGTCAAGAAACAATAGAAAGGGAGAAACAAGGTGATACATAGATAGTACCTTTGCTTGAATGTGCTCGGTGTTCTTGACGAGGAAGTCGAGAAGCGAGCCACGGAAATGGGGAATGGTCAGGTAAGGTTGATCGTAGGTGTGTGAATTGAGAGGGAACTTAGCCCTCTCGATGAGATTAAGAATGATGGTATCCTCTTGTCTCTCCAAAGCCTCCCTTATTGAATCCAGCGTGTACTCATTCCCGGACTCAGAGTTCGATGATTCTGCTGCTGCTTCCATTCTGCGCGTCTCAGCAGAAACCACCACCAGCAGAAGAAGCGGTAGCATTCCCAATCGAAACATCATACGGTTAGTTCAAAATGTTTGGAATGATGAATAAATGAAAGATGAATCTAAGGCAGTGTTGAATGAGCGACGAGAAAGTTGATTACAAAACAGGAAAGAAGGGAAATGGGGACAATTGATGGAACATGGAGATATGAATATTATATAGAAATGAAAGGGTCAACTGTACTAAACGCTATTCATGACATAATACATGAAGATGCTGGCCAATAATGTTCGAAATGATGATATAGCTAGAGAGGAAATTTAATTAGAAGAGGAAATAAGGGTTTACTTTTCCTAGGTGGAACTCCAAAACGGGGTTTTGAACTTTTGACGATGAGATTATGGAAGAGAGGCGGCAGCTTCCGGCGGTGTATGTACAAGAGAGAAAACTTAGTGAGAAAGCATCGTGGCACATATATATATATATATATATATGTTGAGGCGCGCAGAAGAAGTTGGTTGGAGAGTCCAGATGGACAAAGACAACAATGGTGCGTGCGTGGTTAAGGAATGGACGAGGGAACCGTTATTGTGGGACCCCGTTCCCGCGGTTGTCTTCCTTCTGAAACAACCCTAACATTGTCTCCACGCGACACGCCGACACCCATCTGTTTCCCGCTCTCCAGCCGCTTTCTTCACCGCTAACTTCAAGCAATATGCAATGGGTTTCCACGGCAGAGTTCGCGTATGTATAGTACTATTTTCTTTTAGCTTATTTTATAGTATAACCTTTTTCTGCTTTGAATTCTAACAACATATGTATAATTAGGTCTAACATTTATACCTCTTCAGTTTTACCAATTCATTACGTCTCACTAGAACAACGCGATTCGTGGAAGTTTTCAGTTGTTGGTATTCATATTCGATTAAAAACGTGAAACAACGAGGTTGTGAGAATGCTGTGAATTCTTAAACGTAGAAAATATAATAAAAGTTTATCCATGGAAAGATAATCGACCATAACCCTAAAACAACGAATTCATTACATTACAACAGAAAAATTCGCTGTAGACAAGTTGTCTGTTCTCTGTGCGTGTTTTTTTCCTTTGAAATTTTAATTAAATCCAAGTAATTAGAGGAAGGATTCTCTACTGTTTTAATCTCTTCTTTCTCCTTTGAAATTGATGGGAAATGGAGATTATCCTTTCTCAACAATTGCTATTCATCACTAACTGGATATATTGGTTATCTGACTATTTACTAGTAGAAAATTGTTGAGTAGTTTTAGGATAATTGAGATGCACATAAATTTATAAATTACTTCCTCCGAGTTACGATATAATTAAGTCATTTTAACTAATTTAATTTTCTAAAAAAAGGTTGGTTAAAATTTTAATGTTTTAAAAATTTTCATATTTTTTCAACCGTGACATGCTTGAATATAATAAATATAACATTTGACTTATTCAAAATATCCTTATTAATATTACTCAATAAAATAAGAGTATAATTGAAAAAATAATATATAACACCTACCTAATGCCCGATGCTTTGATCTAGAGGGAATATATATTACACATTAATTTTAGAGGATTTAAATTCAGCTGGATGATTAGGAGTGCGGAGGCCACTCCCTCTTAAATTTTTTAAATGCAGCGCGGCTGTCCATAGTAAGACTTGAATTAAAATTTACTGAACGTGTGTGTGTGTGTGTGTGTGTGTGAAACGTATTTTAAAAAAATTATCATGAAATATATACACAATTATTTAAAAGATAACCACTTAGGTAATTCAGACGATAAAGAATTGAGGACATGGTGGACAGATGGTTTAGAATTCAACCCCTCCAGAGGAATTGCTTAAAATATTTTATATTAAAAAAATTAAAAATATATAACATTGTTAGTGATGATTGACCAAAAAAATTGTGAGTGATGAAGAGAGCGAGGGAAATTTGTAAATGGAATTCGTGGGATTTAGTCAGCCAATTATGGGAGTGGGAGTTAGTTGAAGGTTGAAATCATCATTAAGTAGTACTCATGATGCCATGCCGAAGCGCTATATTTAATATCAATCTCTTTCTGAAAATTGATGGTCAGACCCCTCAGAGGTCTTGGGGACGTTGCCAATTTCACTAGTCAATATAAGCAGCTGGGACGAGTGGCCATTTTTATTGTTTGTTATATTGTCACTGTCCCTTCCATGTTTGACTATGCCTAAAGTAAACTACTCTTTTGACATCTGAGAGTGACATTAAATTGAGTCACAACTATAATCTTTTTCTATGACCCAAACCAAGCAGTCTCTCTAATCTTATTGGTATAACCAAAAAAAACCCATGCATCTATAACCATATATCCTTTATGCTGCCAAACTAGCTAGAGTAACCGAACACTAACACTCACTTGTTTTGCTGTCGTGTTAAGTTTTTTTTGCTCTTTTAATTAGTTGTTGAAGATACGTGAGAGAGCTTTTAATTAGTGGTAAATTTATGAAGAACGAATGACTTGAACGGAAACGTTGTGCAGCGTGATGTCATCCGGAATGACATAAGCTGATAATCCTTCGTGTACAAATTAACAAAGATTGAATTCACTTTCCTTTTTCACCATATGCACTGCAAGAATCCAACGTGTTTCAGGCTGTAGAGAAGATTTATTAAGTTTCGAGTCCTCTGGTGAGAAATTACGGATCCGGCATGCATGGTTGTATTTCAATATTCAAATAGGAAAATTCCAAGACCTTGCGCATGTCCTTAACCTAGACTCTAACCTCCATTTCGATCTTATATATGGACCAGTTAAATTGTTTTTACTGTGGCTGTTCAGTTCCTGTTTATTTCCTCTCCATTCAGTTAGTCTTTCCCAGGCTGGCAATCTCAATTCAGAGGCCTCGAAATTCTTTTTTTTTCCCCCCGGGTTACATTATATTGCATGTCCAGTTTGTCTGTTTGTGTTTCTGCATAGTCTTTGTGTTCCTATAGTCTCTGCAATTCTTTGCTTAATCATGTGTTTCATGCACGTTCTTTCTTTGTTTTAATACAACTGATTTTCCAATCGAGAAAAAATGGCCTGTCCGGTTCTAATCTGCATGCGAGGCCGCACGTCATTAAACATTAATTCAACTTCAATATTAATATGCCCTTTCAATCTCACTGATGGTAGAGTATTTTGGTTTTTTAGCTGAGCTTTGGGCGTGTGTCATGGGTCTGAAATGTGCATGGGATAAAGGTATTCGAGAAGGGGAGTTGTCATGCGATTGTCGGGAGGTGCTGGACATTTTACAGGGGGGTGATATTGAGCTTCATGAGCACTCTGCAGCAATCCAAGAAGCACGTTCTTGCAGCAAAGGGATTGGAGAATTTCGGTTAAGCACATTCATTCCCAGAGATTGCAACGTGGAAGCGGACATTTGTGCCAAGAAAGCTTTAGATGCTGCATTTCCTTCGTACTGAAGACCTTCATAGCTTTCCCTGTTTTGAGCCTCCCTAGGCTTTGTCTTTTGTTTTGTTTTTGATTAGGCTTTGCGTTTTTTTCAGTTTCCCTTGTTATAAAAAAAGAGTATGTTGGTTTTACTGAGGTTATAAATCACTGGGTCAACGTTGACTATGTGTATGAAAGCGTACATGATTCGATTCTTCAAAGAAGATGACGAATCATTAACCATTCCGGATTGGTCAAATATGTACGGCGCATTTGATTCTGCCTGTAACTGTGTCGGCTCCATCTCTTTTCATGAATCTTCCCAGCTTGTATCACTTAACCTAGCCCTTATTTGAGCTTTTTCTATATATGTGATCACTATTTAATGGCCACCTAATTATAGCACTTGTAAGAAAAAATGGCACAGATTAAGGAGGAATACTTAGCACAAGAATGTGCCAATTAATAATTTATACATCACTGCTATCCGCAGTCTCTGAAACAGTGGGCGACATGAATACACATGATAATCAATTAATATTAATTAGAAGCAAGGTTTAAAATTCTTCCGGAAATGGCGGTGGCAAGCGCTGCTGTAAAGTTGGGATCTCTAGTCAAAGAAGTAGCCATTTGTTGAACCAAACACTGCTGCATTGACTTTGCACCATTTTCAGCCATTGCTCCTGAATCAAGGGCTCCATCGCTTTCTCTCTGGGTTGACGCTAGTAATGGTATTTCAGATCCATCTCGTCCATGGTTGTGCTCTCCCTCGTAGGTTGCCACCAACACTGTCGGGTCTTCTGCACTCCTTTGCACCTATCATTAATCGTCGTGGAGATCATCATTTTTGGGGAATAAAACAAGAGGGTTAATTTTAGTATCAATCAAATACCTTCTTCTTCACCGGGCAGCTTGGTGCAAAGGAGCACCTGAAGTAAGCTCTGGGAGAAGGGTTATCTCGAGTCACCTTCTGACCATATTTCCTCCACTGATAGCCATCCCTCACATACTGTGCAATACAATCATACCAATAACCACGCTTATTTAGTTACTGCAAGCTACCAAATTCACTGACAGGCTATGACAAAACTGATTGACAGGCGAAAGCAAGGCACTTCTTTGATTAAACTTTAGACCATCAAACTAAAAGAAAAATCAAGGCTATAAGAACTGGTTTAGCTTGTTATACATAGCTACCTAGTACTCTCAGTATAAAAGCTGATGCATATGAGAAGAATTTTTCGAACCATTCATAGTAGCAGACAGTAGCCGGCCGGTAAGATTTTAAAAGTCAAAGCAAAGATTGATGGGAATAATTAGCTCTACAGACTAAAATTGATGATTAATTGCATACATTTTCTTTCGGTGTACCGTCATTGATACAATTATACAAAGACAGGACATTAGAGAACTTACTAAGCCGGTATCTGATGCTTGGGTGCGCAGAAGGACTCTGGAAACCTTAGCGGCTGGCCTTCTGAATGATGAATCTTCGTCAGTGATGTTCCTGCACTCGGTATTGCCGCTAACACTAATATTACCGATACAGGCATCCGTCTCGGCCTTTCTTTTCCTTGGTTGATTAGTTTGATCCTTTTCATCAGGATTATTGGTGTTCACGATCATCACTTGGCTCAGTTGCTTCTTCAAGAGATTGTAGTTCTGACACATGTGTGTCAATCTCTCGGTTAGCTTCTTGTTCTCACTGCTTAAACGGTGCAACTCTTGCACCAAATCCTCAGCCTGCAACGATCACGAAACTCTCTCGGTCCATTACCAGGCAAGACAGAACTAGTTTGAAATTAACGAAGAACAAGGATTAATGAGTTTGTAAGTTAGTTCATTTTTACGAACCGCGTTAACTTTTGTGTCCCGAGGAACCACGTTGAGGTTGAGAGAAGTATCCACGCATGCTGAGTCCATATCAGAATTTGCTTCGCAGCGAAGGAAAGTCAGGAAGAGTACAGAGAAAAAGAGACCGATAGTTTAAAACTAAAATGAAACAGTTCATGAAACCAAACCAACAAGATGACAATAAATAGAAGAGGAGAGAAGACTTGAATTGATTTTGATTATTATTCGAGAGGCAATAAGGAAAGTTGCTGGAAATGACGAAGGCGATAAGGCACTTGTTTTACAGTTTCTTCGACCGTCAAAAGTTGCCATGTGTATATAAAACAATGCATCTAATGACGCGCTCTAATATGTCGGCTTGCATGGAAGAGGGTGTAAATTAGAAGGATGTGACGGTTGAAATAAATTGATTTTCGCGATTTTGATGTTCTTCATTGACCCACACCTTACCATTATCTCATTGACTTTAAGGTGCCTCTTCCGGAGGGTCAGTCTCATCTTGCCGGGTCTCTACGTTTTTCAATATTTAAAAGTGTTTCTGTGTTCCTTCTTGGTAAGTGCACCTAAATAATTGTTAGTTAATTTTGGCCAAAAAGGAAAAGAACTAAAATAGCAGTTGATCTAACAAGGAGAAAAAGCCAAAAGCTTGAGATAGAATAAACACGCTATAGATCTAACATATATAGGAGGATAATGGGAAAAGTGTATATAGATGCCGGATTAATTCCGAGTCGAATGAGAAAGACCGTGTAGAAGACGAACGGCACGGAAGAGGACGAAAATACAGGGAGATGAATAAGAATCAAAATTCAAAAGAATTCGAGAAGGGGGGGGGGGCAGGTAACGCGTAAATGGAAAAGAGGATTCAAAGAGACCTTGACTAACGTGTAAATGCAGTCGTGTGATATATGACCCCTACACTTATCCAACTCTCTCACTCTAATCCCACTATCACAGTGATGGCCAAGCATTTCGCAATTAGTTGATGTATGGGATTCGACGATATACAACCAAGTCGTGTTTGAAACGATAAAATGGGACCGTAGCAGTTTACACCAAATCATACAGTCCAGTCATGCATCCTTCTAGGCGCATTTCATCCTCAAGTCACCAACTAATATTCTCTCAAGGACACGCGCATATCCTTCATTCAATCGACTTCATCGATTCCCCAATGTTTGACACTAGCTAGATTTATTTTAGCAACAAATAAAAAATTTAACAATTAATTATGGTACTTTTCATTTAAATTAAGTGAACAAGTCTAATAAAATATTCTCAACTTAACAAGTCACAAATTAACAAACAAAGTTATAAAATTAATAAATAATGTTTTTAAAATTATGGAATCACAAAATTAACTAACTTATTATTAAGACATTAATAAATATAAGTATGTAATTAATAAATAAAATTATAAGGGTATTTTAATCTTTTTAACTATTTAATTTATTTCATGTGAGTCCAAAAATCTTACAGAGAATTTTTATTTATTTATTTTAACCCAAGGATAAATATTTTTTTATGGTTTTTAATTGAAATTCTTAAAAAAAAAAATCTCATTGTCTCGATCGTCAGCACTGACCGTCAAGCTCCATATCTCGAGCAACTAACAAGGCTGTCATGTAATGTGAAAACCAATTTTACCCCTTCAATTAAAATGCTTTACATATGTGCGCGCGCGCTACGTCAAGTCATCGAAACTACCGCTTCATTTGTTTTTTGACCATTCGACCGCTTAATTTGTCATACAATACCGGGTACGTGAAGATATATTATATATATCGGTGAGGTCACCAAGCGAACGCACGTTTTATATCCTTGATATTTGCTGCATATTTTCCAGCCAAACTTCGTTACTTTTATAGGGTGATGATAATAATGGTGATATGCAACTCGATTGTTCCCTGATCTCAACGCCTTCTACTATTGTGTCCTCTGCAAGGATAACATCAAGTCACATCTATTCTGGTCAATATAGTATATTGAGAGGAAATTAGGGAATCAACAAATATATTTTCCGAACATGATCGTTGCGTTACAACAGACCTATTATTTCCGTGCCTGTGGATGATCGATCCCTAATATAAATCTATGATTCATTGAGAAATTCTTGAATAGATTAAACGCATCACGTCATCTATAATATATTCAGTTAAAATACTCCATACCATCTAAATAAAATTTTATATAACATGATTTTATTTTATTTTAATTTTATAATAGAATATATATTTAATTTATTGCCTTTCCCTTAACACCATTATCAATGTTAGAACTAATCCATATTTAAAGCTATTTAAATATCATATTTTTATGAATAAATTATGAATAATGTGATGCATCCAATCTATTTAATATTTTTTTTTAATTCATTTCCTCTCATCTTAATTTTTTGCGTTGACTAGGGCATCGTGGTCTTTATATATTGGGATAATCACTCAAAATATTTATTCACAAATAAAAATTAATAACAAATTTTATTTTAAAAAAAATAAATTATATTTTTATTTTAATACCAACTCATTCTATATTGATTTTTATCTAAGTTTTTTAAATAATCCATGATGTGATTCTATTATATATATATATATTCATGGCTATGGGTTTAGAGCGATCATTTTTTTGGATCAAAAGAAAATACATGCGTCATTGTTACGTATGTGGCGAGAGGGTGCACATGGATGTATGGTAGCTCTGAAACGAGGCAACTAGCATGTAAGGAATCGTATATGAACAGCAGTGCCGGGTTTAACCAAGTCTTTATAGGCAATTACCGCTTAATTAATAGCCATGGTCTATAATGACGTCACCAAGATGGCATCACACATACGTCCCTCTTTTTTTTGTAAATTTACAAAACAACTTTTTAAAAGTTAGTCTCCTTATATATAATATATAATGGCGTAAAGTAAAGCTGAAAATTTAGATGGATCAAGCGTAATTGAATCGAACTCAATTCAGATTTATTTAACTTGAACTTAGAGTATTTTATTATTTTTAAAAATTTTATATAATTAAACTCAGTTTTAATATTTTCAGGTCTATTTGGACTTGTCTGAATATCTAAAACTTTTTTAAAATATTTATCTTTATTTTTTCAATCAATTTTAATTTTTAAATAATTTTGTTAAATATAAAATATTATTTTAGTTTTAAAAAATAATAACTTATTAACTTTGTATTTAAGTATGCTAGGATAGGCTAGCACCTAAGACGAGGTGAATTGGGTGACACTTAAAAAATTTTAAAAACTTGAAAAGAGTGAAGAACTAAAATGTGAAGGACAAAAATGAGACACACAAAATTTATATTGATTCAGCCTCAAACTTGACCTAAGTCCAGTCTTCAAGATTACACTTGAAATTTTTCAATTAAGTCCATAAGTTTCAATGGGTGCTTGCCACCACAGTACAACTCTTAAGACAAAACTTGTCTTGATTCACTTAACAAACCTTGCTATAATCTAAGAAGTTATTACAAACACTTGAAAAATTTATTTTTAAGATTTCTAAGAAAAAATGAGACAAGCTTTTGCAAAAAAATCTCTTAAAGAGTAAATGAGATTACAATTGAAAACTTATAAATTTTTGAGAGCTTTTCATAATTCTTTTCGAGAATAATAAATGAACGCAAGATATAAAAGCATAATTTAAAAACTCTTTAAATGCATAAGTGATAATTCTTTTCATAATTCTTTAAATGCACAGCTCAATCAAGCACAATTTCAAGGTTAGTTTTTGTTCTGATTCAAAATGAATCAGTTATATAGTTTTAAAAGTTGACAAACCATTGGAACAGTGATTCTATCTGTTGGTACATTTTCTTGTGAGTGACTGATATAGTCATGCATGAATTTGCACTGAAATTGTTTTAGAAAACTGTATGTGATAAATCACGCGTAAACACCTTAACCTCTCACGCATAGTTTTTCACTTATAAATATACATTCAGTTCTGTGTGCTAAAACTCACATGGTACCTCTTTGCTCTCTCGCGTGGTTTGCACTTATGAATATACTCACATATTGTAGTGCTAAAACTTGCGAGTACACCATTAGATCTCATGCAAAATTTAGCACATAAGAAATTAACATCAGTTCTGTGTCACAAATCAAGCATGGAATCTCCTCTCTCTCTCTCTCTCTCTCGCGCGAAATGGTTTGCAGAATGTCAAAGCCAATCTATGTTATCAAAACTCACTCGCGTGGAACCAGAAAGCTATCACGCGTGGAATTACAAGCATTAATACACAAACTTGCCTGGTGTGTTTTCACACGTGGAACTACACATAACCTGAGCAAATTTTTGCATGATTAAAAGATATAGATTTGTGAATCAACAATCATACGTGTGAACAATGTTAACTTGGCTTGAGAAGACTTAAAACTTAGCAAAGTAAAATGTGATTGTGTAACAAGTGACAAATCACATGTGGCTACCATCAGTCTCACGCATGATTTTACACTTTAACACAATATAATGAAGCATAGTTGCTAAAATTGTATGGACAACGAAGCCTCTCATGCATGGTTTTGCATGTAGAAATAGAGTTTAAGGCATCATGACATTACTATCAAATAGTATCAAAATTAATAAAAACTAAATTTTACAATAAATCGTAACTTAAGTTTCTCCCTCAGAGTCAAGGAATTAACTATTTAAATTATAATTATAAAGAGCTAAAAAAGTGGGGGGGATTTTTTTATGATGAAATTAATTTTAAAAAAATAAATTAAAATTAAAAAAATAAAAAGAATTCAATTGAGAACAATTACTAAATACAAGCAGCGCAATCAATGACAACCCAATCACTTAACTTTAATCTTCCTTGTCCATAAAATAAATTAATTTTAATTAACTCTATTATTCTAGTTTCATTATATATTTTTTTAAATTATCATTCAAGAATTAAACAAAAAATTAAGTTATAAATTAATTAAAATTTTATTTAACCCACAACTTATCAACTATTCTATGTTAGTCATACCAGAAATAAAGCATGAGTAATTACTCAAGCCAAGCCAAAATGCTTTTTTGTTACTATATCAATTAATTATAGCAAGTAAAATTTTAAATAAAATTTATAACCCAAAAATCATGTAATAAAACTACTCCAATCAACAATAACAATTAAGGCATTAAATTCAGAGGTAAAGAGAAGAGTAAATTAAAATAAAGCTAAAATAAAACATTTCTTGAATATCAAAAATTCTAAATTCAAGTGTATGATTATAATTTATGATTAATCATACCAAAAAATATTATCTCTCTATAAAACTAAAAACTGAACAATAACAAGCAA